AAAAAACTCCATTTGATCTAATTTAAATCTTTATGTATGTATGTATAAAAAAATATTATACAATCTGCATTACTATTCATAAAATGGGGCAAAACCCTAATTTATATTAAGGGTTATTCTTTTATTTTTATTTTAAAATTTAATATATTTAAATTACAAAATATTATTTAATATATGAAGGTCACTTTTGCACTAATGAAAGATTTCTTCAATGAGAGAGAGAGCAGAAACTAATTAAGCAAAGGTGTTTAGACTTACCTGTTCCAGGTTCAATCCAGGGCGAAATAAAAAATGTGGGAACTCTAACACCAAGGCGGTCAAACTTAAAGTAATATGGTGAAGGGCCAACGATGTCGTCAGGGCTGGGGACTCCAGTGGGTGTGGGAACATGATCATAAAATCCTCCATGTTCATCGTAGGTAATTATGAACAAGATTTCGTTCCACTGAGGGCTGGCTCTCAATGCCTCGTAAACTTCTTTCACAAATTTCTGCCCTTCCGAGACATCATGGGATGGGTGATCATCGTTTGCCGGTATGGACAAAAGGTTCCAGTATCTTTGCTCTACTACAACGTAGTTTGGGAGCTTTCCCTCCTCGCAATGCTTCTTGAAGTGAAGATCAAACTGGTGGAAGTTCTTCAGGTATTTTAATTTTCTAAGATTCCTGAATGCAATAAGGAAAATTCCTTCCTGTTAATTAGATGTCTATTTTTAAAAGTTTTTTTGTTATTCTATTACATGTGCTTGACAGGGCTCAAATATAGTTTTGATGAGAAATTAGCATGGTACATTTCATTTCATAGATTGGATTTAATCACACATGCTTTACAATATGGAATAATCTTTTACTTTTAAATTTTTTTTTACGATTCAAGTTAAAAAAATAAGTAAATTAAATTAAGTCAGTACTTCAAAATTAAGCAATATACAGCTTTAACATTTTTAATTGTAGCCATAACTTTAAAAAGCTGTATGCAGCCTTAAAAAAATACTTATAATTATTAATTATGTCTGATTCATGTTTGCTTTTCAAAATTTTTTTAAAATAATAAAAATGATTGGGAATAATATTTATCTGTTTTATTTTTTAAAAATAAAACAAACAAATATTAACTCAAGATTGTTACACAAAATCAAATTTAACTTGGGATCTTCGTTACCGTAAAGGAAAACTACAGGATTCATTAGTTTTCAGATTTTTTTTTCAAAATTTAAAAGTGATATCAAATACAACGTAATTTATATGTACAATTTTTTTTCTTCTTTCCGAAGGAAAGAAAGAGTACCTAGGAAAAACTTGAGCAGGAAGGGATTCGAGTTTCGAGTGTAAGGAATTTTTGTCTTTCATCATTTATTCTTCTTAATAGTACAAGAACTCATCATTGGATTCACTTCAACCTTAAAGCTTAAGAAATCAAATATAATAAAACGAAATTTATAGAGGTTAGGTAGCCCAAATTAAAAGGGAATAGGAAACCTTTGAAGTTAATTAATCTTTCTTTTTAAAGACGTAAAATTGGTTTGAATTTTTTTTATACAAGAATAAGATAGTAATATATTGTAGTAGCATATGAAATATAATTGAAAATTTTTCTTTTTTTTAAAGAATTTATTTAATAAAAAAATTTTAATTTGTATTATTTACTAAGATATGATTATAGTTTTGAATTTTTAACTTTAATTTTTTAAAAATTTTAAAATTTAAAATAAAATAAAATAATTTTATAAATTAATTAAGTTAAGAGTTTTAAACATTTATTTTAAAATTTTATATTTAATAAGTTGATAACTTTAATTTTAATTTTAATTATTTAAATTTTAAAAATCAAAATCTAAAATTCAAAACCAACTAGTCATGGAACCAAGTACAAAGAGTCAACGACCAATAATATAGGGGGAGTATGTTACCTGTAGAACAAAGTTGCGGGAGGGTACTGATAATATATCCCAAAGCTAAACCCACTTTCATCCAATGACTCAAATATGGTCTTTTGAGGATATCCTTCGATCAATTTCAACGTATTGTTGCTGGTGGCCCCGTGTGACGTCGCAGAATGCACGTACAACCGGTTTGGCTGCGTTGACGCCGGAACAGACGCGAACCACCGGTCACAGATGCCGAAGTTCGACGCCAGCTCTTTATACACCGGGACTGCATCGGGTTTGAACCCCCTCATGACCGACTCCGCCAACCCCTTCTGCGTGCCCTCGGCGTTTTGGGCAAATCCGTTCATTGTCGGTTTGTGAGGCTGCTTGGAGTCGTCAGAGCTCCAGGGCTTCCCGAAGACTTGCTCGTAGATGGCCTGAATGGAGTGACCCGGGTCCGGATCAACATAGGGGGCGTTGTCGCCGAAGAAGATTCGGGCGGAGTTGGAATCGGATGTGGAGACAGGGTTGTATTCAGATCCGGTAACGCCATTGATTTCCGGATTTAGGGACTTGAACCAACCCAGTATGTGGTCGAAAGATCGATTCTCTTGCACCAAAACCACGACGGTTTTGATGGGATGTGAAGATGTTGAAGTACTTGCCTCTTCAACCATTTTTGCTCAAAATAGGGGAGATGTAGGATGGATGTTCTTTTGGAAAACCGGAGCGGGAAGTGTATTTATGTGAGAGAAAGGAGAAAAATGGTGGGAATGAATGGAGTTTTGGTAAACAACAAATTGATAGAAAGAAGGAAAAGACAAACAACTAATCTTGACTAAAATGACCATCAATTTAAAATTTTTAATTTAAAATTAGGGTAGGAGATTCAAATTTTTATATTATAAAATAATTAAATTTTTAATTATAAGAATAATAAAAGATAATAAAAAAATATAAAATTTATTTATATATAATTTTTACACATATTACACATATTATAGTATTTATTTAAGAGAAAAAAAAATCAAAACGTTATAATATTAAAAATATCAAAATGTCTCATTACTATCATTAAATATGTGAAGTATAGTGTGAGTTTTAATTTTATCAAATTCATCATGTAACTATTATTTGATGTCCTACCCTTTTTAATGCCAAAATGCCTTGATTTTCTCTTTTCCTTTTATTTAAAATATAATTTATCTTTTCAATTTTATTGAATGGCAAAACTTTTTATTGATATGATGAGTAAAGGGAACTTATTACTATAA